GCCATCTTCCACTCCTTTCCCAGGCCATGGCAGAGAGCTGGATTGGAAGTGGTGTAGCTGAAGTTGAACTGGCGCCCACTTGGGTTGCTGGCACTGCAGGCGGCAGCTTTATCTGCTACGTCACAGCGCTGGCCCCTAATTATTTTTTAAAGATTTATTTATTTTGAAAGAATTACAGAGAATCTTCCATCCACTGGTTCACTGCCAAATGGCCACAAGGAAGCAAGGTGCCAAGAGCTTCTTCCAGGTCTCCATGGGTTCAGGGGCCCAAGGACATGGGCCATCTCCCATTGTTCTCCCAGAAGCACTAGCAGGCAGCTGGATCAAAAACAGAGCAGCTAGGGCTGAAATGGGAGCTGACATGGAATGCCAGCACAAGCAGCAGCTTTACCTGCTATGCCACAGTGCCATGCCCAGGTAGTTAATTCTTACATTAAAATACCTTCTCAGTATTGTCAAACTGTAAAATCATGGCATTTTCCTTAGAGCTGTCCCTTATAGTGGGAAGCTATATATTTAATTTTATGGTGCTGCCAATAATTAAGACATTTTCAGATCTCTTCCTTTGGAAATGAATTTACATTTACCTCAACAAAACGCCTGTAACTGTAACGCAATTAGTACATGAAGTTACAGTTCAGGACTGTGTGTGGCATGGCAGGTAAAGCAGCCTCCTGCAGTTCCTGCATTCTACATGGGCGCTGGTTCATGCCCCGCTGCCCCACTTCCTATCCAGCTCCCTGCTATGGCCTGGGAAAAGCAGCAGAGGACGGCCCAAGTGCTTGGGTCCCTGCTTCCATGTAGGAGACCTGGAAGCTTCTGGCTCCTGGCTTCAGCCTGGCTCTGCCCTGGCCACTGCAGCTATCTGGGGAGTGAACCAGCTGATGGAAGATCTCTTTCTCTCCTCTGTAACTCCTTCAAATGAGTAAATAAATCTTAAAAAACAAACAAAAAGATGAGCGCTTTAAAAATATCATGCTCTTAGATAGAAACAACTATGTATGTTGCGTAGAAGACATGACATTTGAGTTGGGTCTTCCAGCTGTAACACGGACGACAGCACCTCCGGAGCACACCGTGCACAAACACATGGAGGTGGGAGATGCTGTTTAACAAGTGTACTGTGAATACGGAAGAGGACACCAGCAAGGTGATGGCTGCTGACAAGGCTAAACGTAAATTGTGACCAGTCTGCAAAGACTAGTAAGAAATTCCAATCATGTCATTGTCCCTCTCCTCTCCACCTTTTAAAGGAAATGAGAGTAGAAGAGGGATGAAGATACTACAGAGCTTGAGTTGAGACTCTGGGATTCTAGGCACAGCACTAAAAGACTAGGGGTAGAGGCCCTAGGCAGGTATTTTAAGTCATTAAGACTCAGGGGGCCGGCACCACGGCTCACTAGGCTAATCCTCCGCCTACAGCGCCGGCACACCGGGTTCTAGTCCCGGTTGCTCCTCTTCCAGTCCAGCTCTCTGCTGTGGCCCGGGAGTGCAGTGGAGGATGGCCCAGGTCCTTGGGCCCTGCACCCGCATGGGAGACCAGGAGGAAGCACCTGGCTCCTGGCTTCGGATCAGCGCAGCGCGTCAGCCATAGCAGCCACTTGGGGGGTGAACCAACGGAAAAAGGAAGACCTTTCTGTCTCTCTCTCTCTGACTCTGCCTGTCAAAAAATAAAAATAAATAATAATAATAAAAAAAAGACTCAGAGGTCAAGTGACTGTGTGGAGCCAGTGAAATGTGATTTGTTTTGTGGGAGACAGGAATCACTTGGGGACAAGTAAGATTGATAACTCAGAATGTTTGAAATAATTTGGAAAAACATGTCTGGGAACAGTCTAGTTACATCTAGGAGTGGTCTAGAAATTGGGAGTGACTACTCCTGAGTGAACAAGATTACTAGAAGGGCAGAATTAAAAGATGGATGCAGTGAAATCATGGGACAAAGAGGTGGGAAGGCGAGAATCAGCTGCGAAGATAAGGAGAGAGGACAATGGGGTTAGTTTCAGTCTTTCAGTGGTAGCTGCTGAGAGAATGGGGTTAAGAGGTTACAGCAGGCATTTGCAAAGGGCCAGACAATGCACTGCAGGCGTTTTAGGTTAGTCCTTTGGACTATCCGGAAACAGCAGTAGCTTGTGAACCCCTGGGTTACAGATGCATGATTTTCATGTTTGAGTACTTCAGCTATGCTTTCTATTTAAAATGGGTATAATGTCCAAGTATATAATTTTGCCTAGATCTCTGGGAATATGGAGTTAAGAGCAGACTCAAGACTAATAAAATGACGGCAAGAAAGTTAAGGATGCTACCAAGACTGTAAATGTTTACATGAGGAAAATGGTATCAAACAAAGAGCACTCCCAAGAATAGGGTAAGAAAAGCATTCTGATGGTCACTCCACCCTCAGGACTCCTAACAGTTTTATCAAGTTTAATTCTCAATATTTTTCCTGCCAAGGTTCCAACTGGATTAAGGATGACCTCTTGCAAGTAATATACAGAAATTCAACAGTCACAGTGGCAGTAAATTCCATTTAGAAATGTTTAAAACCAGGTTGTTGCTGTACGCCTCATTTCTCCAGTTTCTCCATCTCCATACTATTGACATCTGGAATATGGTAATTTGTTAGGAGGGTGGAGTTATCTGGAATCACAGAATAAAAAAATTTTTTTTTCTCTGAGGCTCAGACCTTTCTCATGAAATCAATTTATCAATAAAGCACAAAGAGGGCTGGAACTATATACACAACCAACTAAAATGGTTTGAGTACAGGAAGGAGAGGACATAGTGAATACAGACAACCGTGTCATAATGGACTGTCCTTGGTCAGGTGTTACTATTCCCTTCAATGATACTCACAGATTCCACAGATACTTCATTAAACTTAGTAATACTACTAAATTGAGTTGGTGAGAGTAAAACATGACTGAAATTGACCACAGCAACTCCAGGACCAGCAATGTGGTGCAGCGGTGCTTTGTCGTGCTGCCTCCTGCAATGCGAGCATCCCATATGGGTGCTAGTACGAGTTCAGCCCACTCCATTTCCAATCCAGCTTCCTGCTAACGTGCCTGGGATAGCAGCAGAGGATTGCCCAAGTGGTTGGGCCCCTGTACCCATGGGGGAGACCCAGATGAAGCTGCTGATTTCAGCCTAGCCCAGCCTCAGATGCTGCAGCCATTTGGGGAGTGAACCAGCAGATGGAAGATCTAACTGTGCCTTTCAAATAAATAAATCTTTTTTAAAAAAATCTATAACTTTGAAATCATCTGTCAAAAATGCTAAAACTTAACAGCAAGGAACTTCACATAGGTATAAAATGGAAAATAAGTAGCAATGAACCAACACAAATAAACATCTAAGCATTATAAACTGCAGTCTAAACATCAGACTTGGATTAAAAATCAGTATGGGGTGAACATCTGGCATAGTGGTTGAGACACTGCTTGGGATTCTCACATCCCATCCCAAGCTCCTGATTCCAGCTTCCTGCCAATGCACCTGGAGAACAGCAGGGAATGGCTCATATAGTTGTATTCCTCCCATCTAGGTGGGACACCTGCACTGAGGTCCTAGATCCTGGCCAGTCCAGATGATTGCACCAGCAAATGGGAGCTCTTTCAAACACAAACTAAAACTTACCTGCAAAACTAGAAAAAAACAACTTTAAAAGGAGGTGGGCATCATGGTTAAACTGCAGCTGGGAATGCCCATATCCCTTATCAGAGTGCCTGGAATTGAGTCCGTCTCTGCTTCAGATCCACGTCATTTCCTGCTAATGCACCCAGGAAGGAATACTTGGGTCTTTGCTACCCACGTGGGAGACCTGGATGGAGTTCCTGGCTCCTGGCTTCGGCCTGGCCCAGCTCAGGCTGTTGCAGGCACTTGTGGAGTAAACCAGCAGATGGAAGAACTCTCTTTCCCTGTGCCTTTCAGATAAACAGAACTTTTTTAAAAAGCAAGGAGAAACCAAAAGATGCCCAGGGTCCTTAAATATAACCAATGGTACCTAGAAGTTAGGGGAATCAGGGCCACCGCCTGTGACCCCTGTATCCCATATACGGTTCAAGTTCCAGCTGCACCACTTCTGATTCAGCTTCCTTTTAACGCACCAGGGAAGGCAGTCAAAGATGACCCAAGTACTTAGGGGACCCGGCACCCACATGTGAGACCCAGATGGGGTTCTAGGCTCCTGGTTAGAACCCAGGCTGTTGAGGCCAGTTGGGGAGTAAACCAGCAGACTGAAGAGCTTAACTCCACTTTTCAAATTAATAAATAAATATTTTAAGAAAAAATAAGTTAGTTTATTAAAAGTTGAGGAATTAGTGGCTCAATAGGCTAATCCTCCACCTTGTGGCGCCGGCACACCGGGTTCTAGTCCCGGTCGGGGCGCCGGATTCTGTCCCGGTTGCCCCTCTTCCAGGCCAGCTCTCTGCTATGGCCAGGGAGTGCAGTGGAGGATGGCCCAGGTGCTTGGGCCCTGCACCCCATGGGAGACCAGGAAAAAGCACCTGGCTCCTGGCTCCTGCCATCGGATCAGCGCGCTGTGCCGGCTGCAGCGGCGGCCATTGGAGGGTGAACCAACGGCAAGGGAAGACCTGTCTCTCTCTCTCACTGTCCACTCTGCCTATCAAAAAATAAAAAAAAAAAAAAAAAAGCTCCTAAAAAAAAAAAAAAAAGTTGAGGAATTAAGATAAACCCAGAAAAGGGGATTCACTATAAATGAAAACCTTCAAGTGGTCTCTCCACAGGAGTCTGTTATACTTCAGCAATGTGGGAAAATACACCCTAAGAGTGTGTTCTCCAGGGGTCATATTGTGGGAAAATACACCCTAAGAGTGTGTTCTCCAGGGGTCATATTATGATCTAAGCATCTGAAGACATTAGAGGTTACATGTTAATGGTAATGGACTACAACAGCTTGAAGTTATTACAACTATTACTGCTGTTAACAATGCACAAAAACTGCGTTTTTAAAAACATAATCGCCACAGTACCAATAATCAAACAGATAAACAACTTTATTTTTTACACTTAAAGGCTGATGAAAAACCACTACTAATCTTATTAAAGAAAATCCAACATTTCAACTGAAAACTATACTTATATATACTTAAATACTATACAGGTTTTCTCAAACACAACTTGAAAACATCAAACATACTTGTTTAATTTCAGTACAATGGATTCAAGACCAAGTACACATGACATGCATCAAGGTTAGATTACAAATTATCATAGTCATCATCATCATCATCGTCATCGTCATCATCATCGTCACGTTTTCTTTTCAATGCATTTGTTTCACTGGCAGTATTCTGTGATGACACCATATTAGTGGTAATAAGAATGTTTTTGGACCCAATTAACGATGGATTAATGAGAACATTCTGAACTGCTGATGTTGCAGGAATTGATGCCTTCACAGCGGGTGACTGTGAAGCAGGCATCTGTACTGTGAACCTCTGTCCTGTGAGGGACATTGGAGTAGCTACTTTAGTAGAAACAGACATGGTCTGTGGAGTTGGGGTGCCTAGTGTGGGAGTACTTGGTCTGCTAGTAACTGACCCAACACTTAACCGCGGAACCGTTATTCTTCCTGCAGAAGTAGACGCCTTTTTCTGCAAAGACTTAAGCCTATAGTTCGGAGCGGTTAAACAGTACCTATCAGGTGGCAATCTAGGACCTGAATATGGTTTGATCAATGGCAAAGGGGTTTGATTTCTTTGCCTTGCAATATCTAATAAAAAATCTCTTGGGGGAGGAGAAGTAAAAGACTGGTCAGCACGACACTGGATTGCCAACCGCACATCGTCTGCATCAACAGTAGCTTTCTTAGCATGGCTCGAATAAATCTTTGCATCATCTAGAATTGTGGTCACATATCGGAATGCAAACTCCAACATCTGATTTATAACTCTTGGCTCATATTCTGTAATCCCCATATCCTTCAGGATTTGTGCCATCATCTGTGCATCTTTCGGCATGCTCTTGGGAGAAGCCATCTTGCCAGACTCCATGATATCCGGTGATCAAACTTTAGATCACTTGAAAAAAATATGTATATTAGATCAAACTGAAAAACTTCAGTAGCAACTTCTAGGAACTTAGTTTTTTAAAATATGCGTTATATCCTTTAAAAAATAAATTTAAATTTTAAAACATGTTAAATATTTTTAATTTCAACAAGACACACTTAAAAGTTTCCTTTACTTACACTTACTGAGTTCCTACCCTGTTAAAAATCATTCTAGAGTATAAAAAGATGAAGACAAAAATAAAGGACTAACTAAAAAACTAGGGGAAAATATGGTTAAATCTGTAAAAACATGCACCGCTTTGAAATAATCTAATACTATAGAACAATCATATTCTACTGCTTGAATTCAAAATTAATCTTTCTAATGTTGTCAATTTACTCACTGTCCTATATATGTGTGGCATCACCCAAACCTCTGTGTTTGTCCAACTCAAAACATTCTCCTTCTGCCTCATATTCAGATCCCAAGTCCCAATTTCTTCATGGAAGCCTTCCTAATTATTTCTACTCACAAGAATTGCTAGCCAATTTGGGGAGAAGGAGGTGGAAATAATCAAAATAAAAAGGACACAGTATTGGACACTTAGTATCTTCTTTTTCTGTAGGCTCCGGATAGAGCACAAATTCCATAATAGGAATCTGTCTCTGCTTTTGTACCCTCTCACAATACCTAACAGTACCAATAATTCCACTAGTCGACTGCAAGAAAAACAAAAACAAAAACAAAAACAAAAACCCAACACTAAAGCATCCCCTTACCTTCTCGAGCTAAATCACCCACATTAACGTATTTCAGTCCTGATCTTGATGCAAGTTCTTTGCCTAGTGTGGTTTTCCCAACCCCTGGAGTACCTGTAAGACAAATCACAGAAAAATGCCTATGAAATACTATTATAGACTTCAACTACTTCCACCCTTTGTAAGGTTCTTAACAACTTTCCTAGTAGGAAAGCAACCAGATGTGAATATACAAAAATAGTAGTAAGCAACCAGATGTGAATATACAAAACCAACTAAACAAAATCTCCCAGGGCAGGTGTCTGTAGAGGTTAGGATGCCCACCTCCCATGTTTGAGTTTAGACTAAGTTCGGTATTTGGCTCTGACTCCTGACTTCAGCTTCCTGCCAATGCAGATCCCAGGAGGCAGAGGACTGCTCAAGTATCCAGGTAGCAGGACTGAGCTGACTTCCTGGTTTCTGGCAGCACAGGCATTTGGGGAGTCCATCAGTGGATGAGAACATGCATGAGTGCTCTCCCGAATTAAAAAAATTTTTCTGCAAAAAAGCTCTGGATGTCAGAATCACGCAATGTTTCTCCATGGGTGGGAATACAAATTCTGACTGCTGCCACCAACGTCAGACTGCCCACAATAAAATCAGCCACCTCAAATCAATTACTGTCATTTATTTGCTTTTATTTTAAAAGATTAAGAAATTGTTCATTGGCCGGCACCGCAGCTCACTAGGTTAATCCTCCGCCTGCGGCACAGGCACTCCGGGGTCTAGTCCCGGTGGGGGCGCCGGATTCTGTCCCAGTTGCTCCTCTTCCAGGCCAGCTCTCTGCTGTGTGGCCTGGGAGTGCAGTGGAGGATGGCCCAAG